TTTTTATTTAAAGTTTTATTTTCAATTTTTTAAATTTTGTAAACTGCCTCTAAGCTAGGGATGTGCAATGTGGACCTTGTGAACCCTATATGAACCCCGGTTGAATTGGCTCATCGATTTAGCCCTTTCTTGGCTAGATAACTAAAATCTGATGTAGACGTTCTTATGTCAGTTTTTCGTGTAAATTCTGGATATGTTATTTGTTTCTCCACTTGATTAGTAATTTTGATTAGAAAATACTCATTTAACCAAAGATTCACAAGTGAACCCCAAAAAGGTTCACTTGTGAACCTTTTTGGGGTGGAGATACAAATCAAGTGGAGAAACAAATAACATATCCAGAATCTACACAAAAAACTGACATAAGACTGTCTACATCAGATTTTAGTTATCTAGCCAAAAAATGGGCCAAATAGATGGTCCAATTCAACCAGGGTTCACATAGGGTTCACAAGGTTCACATTGCACATCCCTACTCTACCAGGCGGGGACATAATTTCGCGGAAAAATAAATTGCTGGTTTGAATTGGCGCCATACTCTCTCTTCATGTCTTTCGGATCCCTCTAAGTTGATAGGTGTCGTTCCCCCACGAATAGAATAACCCGCTTTTTGGGGGTCCCGGACCCCAAACTCGCGAGTACCCCCCAAAACCCATGATTTTAGGGGGGGGTTATCAATGTCAGATTTGGAGTTGACATACGTGAAAACGTGACATCCGTGTGTCACGTAAAAGGGCAACTTTCGCTGCGCCGCTCGGATCCGGGCGTGTGATACGTCAATCGCTTCGTCTCGGCGAGACAAGACGAATGGTACCGGTCTCGCCGCGAAGATTTGCGTTTTCCGGGATTTATGGCTTCCGGATCGAATCCTGGATTGAACTTTCGCTGCCGCTCGGATCGGCGATACGTCATCGCTTCGCGAATGGTCTCTCGCCGCGAAGATTTGCGTTTTCCGGGATTTATGGCTTCCGGAAATCCTGGATGACCGTGGGCGCCGCCGTGCGGCGAAGCCGCTGGGCAGTCCTATGGAATTTCTGTCTAACTCACTTAGAAGAAGGGAGGAAGGAAGAAACTGATAAGGACTTTTTCCGCGAAATTATGTCCCCGCCTGGTAAGCATCAAAGTAATTTGAATATTCAGTAGCGATCGTTATACGTATTTTGAAAGTCTGTTACTTACTTTAACCGTATACAAGTCTTAAAGCGAATGCACTGTAATAGTTGTTGGTTTTACACTGATGTCGAGTAAAAAAAAATTTAAATGAAACTCAATTTATTGGCATCAGCAGTTTATAACAGCATATTATAATCTAAGGTCATTAATACTGCCTAGGACAAAACCAGTGGGCCGATTCCTCACCGAGTTCAAATTTCAAATTAGGGGTTAATTCGGGGAAAAGAAAGAGAGAAATGACGAAATAGTGTGCGATTCAGAGAGATCGCTGCGGGACAAAATAATATGGCGCAATCATATGGTTTTGTCCTAGGCAGTATGCACAAACTATGAAACCGTTATACGCTGAGATTATGTATCTCTGCGTTTTGGCTAAAATGATATACTAGTAGTATATCATTTTAATCATCATATGGTTTTTTGGCAAAAAAATTCTTTAAAAATTTTTTTGCTAAAAAACCATAGGGAGTACCCTATGGTTTGAAAAATTATAAAAATGTTCTTATTTTTTGACCCCGAAATCTTAGTTTTGAAATCAAATGTTCTTATTTTTTTGACCCGACTCGATGAAAACCCTGTATACTACCGACTCCAAAATTCTTGTTCCTTCCGGCAATCACACTGATAGGATGCTCAACTTTTAAACTATTTAAAACCCAAAACGGCAACTTTGTTTCATTTATACCGGTGTACGAAATTACGTGTTATAGACAATTTAGAAGTCAGCTGATTTTGGAAACGTCTTTTCGAAGCATAACGAAAAGTATTTTTGAGGAAAATATTTTACTTAATGGCTAAAATAAGACACTTGGACAGACTTGGATTCACTTTTTATGTATGGCCTCAGGTTAAGTGGCAAATTTTCCATCAAAGCGGCTTGTCACTTAATTGGCAACACTTAATTGGTCCGCATCCAAAGTTGCGTTCGCTTCAATACACAAACTTTCAGCCAATATTTCATTTGATTTCACTTTTTGTCAATTCTCTCTGCGGTATTCCGACTTCCATCCATTCCGAGATATAATAACGTTTTTCTCTCACTTTATTCTCGCTAACGCCCAATTCGGGGGAAACCCAACTGGGGGGGGGATAATTGGGGGTTTCAGAAAACTAACAATGGCTTTTGTCTTTTGATGTCTTGTGTCGATTATTTCTTTGATTGATTATTTTATACTGTTGTGGCCTAAGCTAGGGATTAAAGATTCTTACAAGGGAACCTTTTTGAGTGTCATTTCTATTTGCAAGGGCGGGCACCCGTTTTTTTTGCTAAAATTGTTGCATCTATGGAGTTATTCACGAATCTCAGCCTTCAGCTCCGGAGGTGGCATATAACGTGGTTTTCGAGAGTCTCGAAGTTGTCAAAAAACCATGATACCCCCCTCATGGATCCAAAAATTCAAAAAAATTTTTTTAGCCGGAAACGATGTTTTTAGGTGTTTTCGGACTCGCTGATCACGAATCCGAAGAAGAGAGTTTTCACGATTGGTGACGATCTCGCAAAGTTATGCCTTCAGCCAATATTCAGGAATCGTGAAATTCTAAGTCCCGGCTCACTACTAAACCCATATATTTTGGACAATACGGAGAAATTATGTTTACATATTCTGATTAAACATTCAAAGTTACATACAAATATCCACTTTTAGGCCGGGATCATATTACGATAAAAATAAGAGTATAGCCTCCTTTTTCCCCAGACTCCTTTTACCCTGCGAAACAAGATTTTATTTTTATCGTAATATGATCCCGGCCTAAAAGGGGATATTTGTATGTAACTTTGAATGCTTAATCAGATTATGCAAATCGAATTTCTCGGTATTGTCCAAAATATATGGGTTTAGCCCTTCATTGCCCGTCCGTAGAATTTAGCTGATTTTTGGTATACAGGGCCCATTTGGGTCCCTGATAACGGGAAAAATATTATTTTTTTGAAATTCGACCATTTTCCCGTATTTTCGGAGCGTATCTTTTGAGATACACTGGGCACCATTCGGGTCAAATGCTCCTCTTGTGCCCAGCGTATCGAGGTCGAGATTTCGCGCAGGTGCGCATCTCGCGCGGGTGTCCCAAGAGCAAAGTTGCTTTTCTCATCCTTATAAGCAACTTTTGCGTTAGGATCACCGCGCGAGAAGCGTTATTTGCATGGAATTTGGATGCGTATCTTTTGAGATACACTGGGCACAAGAGGAGCATTTGACCCGAATGGTGCCCAGTGTATCTCAAAAGATACTCAAACTAAAATTTGCATTTTTTTCATTTTCTGTAAAGAAAGTTTGTGTTTTTCTCATTTATACGTAAAATACAAGTCATAAATATATAGAAACCATAAAACACAAGATATTTCCGTTAGCGTAGATATAAAAAAATATTACCTGAAGTGAGGTATGTTCGGGAAAACCCGAGGTGGTCGAATGAAAATATTCAGAAATTTTAAATTTTAAAAACATAAATTATAAATTTGGTATAGATCTATTAATTACTACTCAAAGAACATAAATAAACAAAGAGGAACGTAATAGAGTTTTAAATTACACTCGAAATTCTAGAAAATTCGATGCGTATCTTTTAAGATACACTGGGAAATGAAGGGTTAGTAGTGAGCCGGGACTTAGAATTTCACACCTTTGACAACTTCGAGACTCTCGAAAACCACGTTATATGCCACCTCCGGAGCTGAAGGCTGAGATTCGTGAATAACTCCATAGATGCAACAATTTTAGCAAAAAAACTGGGTGCCCGCTCTTGCAAATAGAAATGACACTCAAAAAGTTTCCCTTGTTAGCTAGATCCTTAATTCCTAGGCTAGAATCCTTAATCCCGAACTTAGAATCCATAATCCCTAGCCTAAAAAACTTACGCAGTTAAGTAAAGCTGTCCGTATGTCGCATGGGATTTTTGGAAGTGCATTCTTAGGGGTGCTTATTTTTTAAATGTACCTAATTAGTGGACTGGGGATTATTTAATATTTACTTTAAGTAAAAGTATCTCATTTCATCCTTATAAGCAACTTTTGTCTTCGGACCTCCGGGCGAAATGCACACTTGTGCGATTCTCGACATGCAAATCGGCAAAAATGTCATATTTTGGGCATCGAAAAAGTGATATGCCATCCGAAAATGGCTTTCTAGGCTAGCCATTATGGTTTCTACGCTCGTGATTAAGGAATCTATGCTCGGAATTAGGGATTAAGCTTAATTAACCTTAATCTCACGCCTTGTAGCGTTAATCCCTATCTTAGAAACCTAACTCCCTAGCCTAAAAACTTAATCCCGAACTAGAATCCAAGAGCTTAGAATCCATAATCTCTAGCCTAAAAACTTAATCCCGAACTAGAATCCAAGAGCTTAGAATCCATAATCTCTAGCATAGAATGCTTAATCACTAGCCTAAAAAATTTAATCCCGAGCTTAGAATCCTTAATCTTCTTTTTCGTTCTCCCGCAATTGGCTTTTTAATAAAACCGTCCAAAATCTCATCCCTGCCCCTAGCATGAAAATAAAAAATTATGTCAAACCCCCTCTGGATCCCCCGGCAAATACCCACTTGCGTAGCCCTGACTTGATCGAGGTCAAGTCAGGATTGTCTGACTGAGAGTTGGGTTCTGTCTCATCCACCTTGAATTGAGGTATTATATTGAAGTAGGCTGAATAATTGAAAGACAAAATATCATTAATTTTTTATGAATATTATAGTTTGATAAATTTTAAAAAATATTATTTGGCCTACATTATTTTATTTTCATAGCAAAATTTATTGAGATATAATTTTTTATCAAAAACTTATTTTTCCGCACCAAAATGCATACATTTTTTCCGAACAAAAATGATTCCAGCAACCCGGAGTTGAACCAGGGACCGGCGGATGACTTCGTATAACTCTACAGTCCGACGCTCTACCAACTGAGCTATTGCTGGCCATGAAGGACACTTGTCAAATGTCGGTCATATATTTGATGAGAAGTAAATATTTTCACTGGTTGGTCGTTTTAATCTTTTACTTTACTTTTTTTAACACAATTTTGCGCTATTTATTGAAGTTCTATATACGAAGGCTGAATAATTCAAAGACAAAATATATTAGGTTTTAACTGGAAAATCGAGGGTCCGGAAATTTTTCGCAAAATGTGTTTTTAGGGGTAAAACATGTTTTCCGAAAAAATTTGATTTTTTGACCATAGGGGGTACCACATGGACGAATTGCACCGAACAACGCGAGATTTGGCCCATGCCTCGGTTCATTGCGCGACTCCTTACACAAATATCCTTGAATTTGAAGAGAACACTGTTATTAATTTTCAGATCTTAATCTATTGTACGTGCGGACGAGCGGATTGCGGTTTGGGCCTGTTTTTGTTCCAATCCGCAAACTGTAAGCACCCCTAAGAATGGCTCGGCCGTGCCCGATAGGGCGCGGCCGAGGAAAAAATTTTGCCTCAACATTGAAAATTTTCAAAGGAAATTTTCTCCAAGCCCACCAAATTTTTGAAAAATTTTCGCCTGCGGCGCTATTTTTTCTTTGATTTTTTCGTTGTATCTTACATTTTTTCAATTTTTTTCGCCTGCGGCGCGATTTAATCCTTTAGTTTTTTTCTGTAATTTTAGACGCCGGCGCAGTTTCCTATGTCATTTTTTCCGGTTTTCTTTTGAAATCTGTTTTATAAACAGTAATAAAAATGTAATATAAATGAAAAAAAAAGAAAAAATAGCGCCACAGGCAAATTTTTTTTTTAATTTGTGAGGTTGGAGAAAATTTTCTTTGAAAATTTTCAATGTTGAGGCAAAATTTTCAAAATTTTTCCACGGCCGCGCCCGATAGGGCGCGGCCGAACGATTTTCTGAAAAAAAATTTCTTCGACTTTTTGGCGAATAAAGCAAATTTCTCAAAAATTGTCGCCAATTTTTCATATAAAATTTTGTCAGAAAAATCAAAATTGTCTCTATTGTTCCAAATTTCTAAAATTTTCGCCTGCGGCGCTATTTTTGCCTCTTCCTTGCTATTTTCAATTGCAACGCTGATTTTGAGCCATCTACGAAAACGACTGTCGCGTGAGAATTTCGAGAAATTACTGATACTAGTAATTTATTGATTTTAAGCTTTACGTATTGATTTTGTAGTGATTTAATGCATCTGGTTGAATAAAGACTGATTCCAGATCCAAACACTACAAAATGCCAAAATTTGGAAAAAAAATTGAAAAAATTAGTAAAAAATGAAAAATTGCGGATTGCGAATTGCGGATTCCGCAATTTTAATTTTGTTGCGGATTGCGGATGGGGAAATCCCAGTTGCGGGCAACTCTGGTAGGAAACGGCGTTTCGAAGCTTACAAACTAGTGTTACAGTGGTGTCCGTCGCATCTAATTAGTTATCCCTCCCCGCGCATCCGTTTTCTCGGGGATTTTTGTGTTTCTAGATTCCTCTGGAACTAACTAGAGCGAAATTTCAGGAATTTTTCTGTTCTCATGTTTCTATCGAGAATTATGACCATTTTTAAACAAAAATTGGTTTTTGGACAGTTTTTCGGCCCTGGCACTTTCAAGCATTTCTGACGCGCATTTTTCGCACTAGGGGGTTTTCGGATGCTGGGAATCAGAATCCGGGGTACGAAATTTTCAAAATTATTTTTCAAAGGAAATTCGCCGCTTACGATGCTAATTTTTGCACCAGGGGTTTTCGACCACGGAGATTCCAAACTCGGTGTCAAAAAATTCCCGCGGTACCCCGGGGTACGAAATTTCAAACAGACATTTTCGGGCCGCAGGCCTGAGGAACGAAATACAGTTTACTCATAAGAACAATCTTCAAACTATCTTTAAATTAATTTCACTACAATTATTGACACAACATCCGACTCCAAGTTATAATTAGTTATGGCAGTATTAGGACCGTTATCTATATCAAGTCATGTTCACGGCCATGCAGTGCGTCGAGATTCACGTTGAGGTTTAAATATGGTCGTCCTAACACGACTTGTGGCTGATTTATCCTTGAGAGACATGCTAAATAATGAATTCGTGATTAGTATACTTGGAAAATGGGTGTTTATATAAGAAGGGTAAACCCGCAGCTAGGGCTATCATGCACCTCAAACGGAGATAGTTCGAAAAAACCCGCCCCTCTCCCGACATATATTTTGCGAAACAGGTTAGAGTGGATATAGACAAATACGGTACTATTATAATTATCAATCACGAAATTTTGTACCCGGAAGGGCAAAAAATTTGGAACGGATTTTTTCCATACAAAATTACTTCGATTATCCGCATTTTGTGCCGATAAAATCGAATATCCGCACAGGTTTTTGAGAAACCAAAGTGAAATTTCCAAGTAAAATTTTTCGTTTATCCGCACAAAGAAAAATGGTTCTGTTTTTGGCGCAAATTTGAATTTTTATACAAAATTTTCCTATTTTTGACCAAATTTTTCGAAAATTTTTCAAAATATTTGCCAAATAGGGCAAAAATTTTGCAAAATTCGGGCAAAGTTTAGTAAAAAATTCAAATGTTTTGGGCGGGAATTCAAATTTTATTTAATTTTATACAACCGGACCGGGGGGTTGGCCGGCCCGGCGGAGTGACCATCAAGAAAAACGAAATAAGCACCCCTACATATGCATTCGGCTGTACCCGGAAGGGCAAAAAATTTGTAATTTTTGAGAAAGAAAAATTTTTATTGTAAATTTTTCGCAAACAACCCAACTCTAAAAAAATATGCCTGCGGCGTTGTTTTTTCTTCAATTTTCTATTGTAAATTGCAATATTTTGAAAATTTTAAAAGTTAATAGTCACTATTAATTGGATGGTTCTATCAATAACGGAAACATACCCGGAAAATGCGTCAGGTAAATACGGTAACTATTTATATGCCACCCAAAAACCTTTATAATATCTATCAATCCATATCGGGTTTAACGTCGACAGCGATTTTAAGAGATTCAGTCTTAAGCCTAAACCTAAGTCTTAGCCTAAGCCAAAACCTAAGCCTAATTTGGGGACCCTAAGGTCGTTTACCCTTATTTGGGCACAACGCCAATACCAAGGGATTTTGCAGGGGAACGACCCTTAGGATCAGATTTTTGGCTCATTCTGAGCCTTAGGGTCTAACTAAGCACTAAGGCTCACGCCAACGGCTGAATCTCCTATCCCCCCAGTTGGAACCCTAGTTGTCTTTTACCCCTCTCAGTTACTCAGTTAGCAACTTACCCGGAAAATGCGTCAGTGCTCTCATTTTGTTGGACAGAAATGCCTTTGAAAACCTTCGAAAAAAGTTTCAGAGTGGCGATCTTGTACGGCTTCACAATTACCAGCAAGGTGACATTAGCCATTAGCGGAACAATGCAACATGACGTCAAGACTGCCCTTGTATAAATTGCAGCCCACTTTGAGTTGTTCATGGCAAACATAACCACGCCAAACATGGGCATCGCTAGAAGTACACCGCCGATGATCATGTCAAAGACCAATGCATTTATAAGGGCCAACGACAGAGAACGGGTGCGTGACGACATAAGCTGTTGACCTTTTGAAAGGTGACGATAGCAGCCGAGAGTGCAAAATATGACAAGTACGGCGGCAATTATTATGAAAATTATGCATACGAGTTCAACAGCGGAGTATAAAGGTAGGCCGACAGCTTCGCTTGGCTGAAAGTTTTAGGTAATCCTATGAATGAGAATCGTTCATTGGCATATCATTGTCATATCGTTACAAGGCGCCAAAATGAGCGTTTGAATATTGAATTATTGTTTGAGGAGCACAAAGGCGGAAGGAAGTTGTTTGGAGTCAATATGATGAAACCGCTACAAAGTAAATCGATCCCGCTGAATCCAAATCCGGGATCAGATTTGAACTTTGATCTTTGAACTTTTCTCTTTAAATTCGGGATTTTTCACAAATCAAAGATCAAAGTTCAAATCTGATCCCGGATTTGGATTCAGCGGGATCGATTTACTTTGTAGCGGTTTCATCATATTGACTCCAAACAACTTCCTTCCGCCTTTGTGCTCCTCAAACAATAATTCAATATTCAAACGCTCATTTTGGCGCCTTGTAACGATATGATAATTCGGGGCCAATGAACGATTCTCATTCATACTACAGTCGACTCTCATTATAACGCCTCTCTATATAGCGCAGAATATTTTTGGAATATGCTCTGTAAGTGACTCTCCATATAACGCGGATTCATCATTTTTTAGATTTTTGACCAACTTTCTCAAAATTTTTGTAAATTTTATCTTGAAGTTTTATAAATTTTCAAAATTTAAACCAATTTTGAATTTGCGATTTTAGGATGCAATACATGTTTTGAGGTCATTTTTTGATGAAAAAACTTTTTTACCATTTATGACAGAAATTTTGATCATTTCTCAGGCCATTTTCGATTTTCGGAAACTTAATTTTCCAAGTTTTTTCAGGAACTTGCCATGACACCGAAAAAGCTTTGATGACGTAATATTTCATAAAGGCGTGGATCCACAAATTTTATAGATTCAAGGAACGCCGCAGGTTCTAGAAAGAGGAATCGTGCGCAAACGCCAACGAAACAGAATAGCGAGAGTGTCCCACTAAAAATTATCCATAGCACAACTGGTCCAGACGACGTGAGCTTCGTATAAATTCTGTTATTCACTGTATAGCCGTAACGGAAAAGGAACATGTCTGAAAATTATATGATGTGAATTGGTACACTGTATTAGCCATACAAACAAGGAGGCGAATAGTTACACTCTATAGAACAAGACGCATTTCAAATAAAGAGGCGGCAATTTGAATGCACATTATGCGTAGCATGTGAAGAAGCGTATTTTCCTTCTAGAATATTCGAATGGAGAGACGCATTCATTTATTAGCATAAAAAACAAGGATGCGAATAGTTAACTCCATTTTCACAAAGGAAATTTTAAGAGTTTAAAT